CATAATCTTTATGGCCTGGAGCAGTGCCAGCTGGATTAATAGGTGGTCAATCTACCAAATGAGATAGAGAACAAAGCAAAGGGATGAGACTCAAGATGGCATTACTATGGCTTGCTATTGTGCACTGCAGGTCTCAGAATGTGTCCTCCATGGATAGCACATGTTTTTCAGATTGATCCCAAAACATTAATGCATTCAAAGCTTTATTGGACTCTTTTCTGTCATGATTATTCAAATTCACACTATTTTATTTTGATATGCACTGCTCAGCCTTTCCCCATCTCCACTCTCCCCAACCCATCTGTTATTTTAAGTTCAGATTGCATATGTGCATATATATATGCATATATATATATGCTAAACATATACAATCTTATCCACATCCATTCACATAAAAGCTATGATGTACATATAGGCATGATAAAAGCAATATCTTTTCTTTTATTATTCTAATTTTCTTGTACATGAAAAATCCTACCTTGGCATTATTTCCATCTTGTGGATATGTAATTATCCCAACAGCATTTGTTGAAGAGACTAACCTTTCACCCTGGGTTATGTTCAGTTTTCTCTCTGTGAAAATTAGTTGATTGTATACGTATGGGCTCGCTACTGAGGTTTGTGTTCTGTTCCATTGATTTCCTTGTCTTTGTACCAATGCCAGACTGTTGTTATTGCTACTGAGCTGTAGTACATCTTGATTTTTAGTATTGTGATTTCTCCAGTTTTGTTTCATTGTTCAGAATAGGTTTGGCTATTTGTGGTGTCTTGTGTTTCCAGACGAATTTTTGCACCATCCTTTCAAGCCCTGAGAAGAAGGTTGTTGGGATTTTGGTTTGGATTGTATTGAATCTGTAGGTTACATTTGATAACATGGACATTGGGATGATGTTGATTCTACCAGTCTACAACATAGTAAATTTCCTTATCTTTTAATGTCTTCTACTTCTTTCTTTAATGTTTTGTAATTTCCATCATAGAAGTCTTTCATGTCTTCGTTTAGGTTTGTTACAAAGCACTTAAGATTCTTTTCCACTATTTTTAATGAGACTGTTCTTATACAATCTTTCTCAGAAATAGAGTTGTTTGTGTATTCCAAGGCCATCCATTTCTGTTCATTTATTTGTATTCTGCGATTTTGTCAAACTCTTATGATTTCCAATAGTCTCTTTGTTGAGTCTTTTAGTTCTCCTATGTATAGAATCATGTTATCTGCAAACAGTGATAATTTGACTTCCTCATTTCCGATTTGAATTCCTTTAATTTATTTTTCTTGCCTAATGGCTCTGGCTAGGATTTCCAGTACTATATTGAATAGCAGTGGTAAAAATGGATATCTTTGTCTGGTTCTGGATCTTAGAGGGAACGCTTCTAGTCTTTCCCCATTCAGTATGATACTGATGTTGGGGTTTTCGTATATTGCTTTAATTGTGTTGTGGAATGTTCCTTCTGTGCCTATCTTGCTTAGGGTTCTATTATAAAGTGATATTGTATTTTATTGAATGATTTCTTGGTCATATTGAAATGATTATATGGGTTTTGGTCTTCATTTTATTAATGTGGTGTATCACATTTATTGATTTGCATATGTTGAACCATTCGTGCATACCAGAGATAAATCCCACCTGGTTTGGTAAATGATCTGTCTGATGTATTTTTGGATTCTGTTGGCTAGTATTTTGTTGAGGATTTTTGCATCTGTGTTTATCAGCAGTAACCATTCATAGCTGTCTACTAGCCATGCTCCTAACTTCAGTGTGCCATGAAGATGATCTGCCATGTGTAGCACAAAAGCCAAACTTAATATTGTCACATGTGAGAAGGTCTTCAAAACATTCACGGAAAATGTGTATTATGAAAAAGAAATGTATGGGTATCAATCGTTTTTTTTTTTTTCTTGCCACCAGCCTTGTGACTTACTCCCCCAAATTCTTGCAACATCCAGGGTCAAGTCAAGCGAAAGCCAGGATTGCAGACCTCAACCCAGGAATCCCACATAAGTGACGGGAATCGAATCACTTGGAACATCACTGCTGCCTTTTAGGATCTGGAAGCTGGAGTTAGGAATGGGGGTGAGTACCAAACCCAGACAGTCCAATGTGGAATGTAGGCATCTTAATCATGAGGTTACATGCTTGTCCTCATTTTCCTTTTTGAAATTCCAGAGTGAGGGGAAAAGGGGGAAGGTTTCCAGGAATAATTAGAGCCACTCAGCCGGTGTCTTACTACCTGTGGCTCATGGCTCCTGCCTGCTTTGCACCAGCCCCTTCTATCCCAAGCTTCTTCCACTCAGGGTTGCCAGATGGAGCACGTAAGATTAAGAACCCCAGTTACATTTGAATTTCAAATAAATAACACTTCGTTTTTCAGTAAGTCTTGTGCAAAAAAAAATATGGTTTTTTTTTCTTTGTTTCTCTGAAATCCAGATTTACCTGGTGTTTGTGTTTTATCATCCAGCCTTTCTCTACCTGCCACTCTCAGACCCCATTATTTAGACAGGGTTCCCACAACTCTTCATGAGGAGCACAATTCCTTCCTTCTGGCCACAGCTTATCCTTTTCTGTGGACATGCTCCTTATCCACCCATGAGCACATACCTAAGGAACAGGTGGGAATAGACTCTGCATACTCCCTCTAAGCCACCTAACTCAGTAGCCGGGGAGCATCTCTCTCTCTTTCTCATACACACACACACACACACACACACACACACCCCTGAGGGAGGCCCCATCCATCAGTCATGCTTGCAACTGTGTGCCACATACCAGAACTCCTTCCTCTGGAAAAGCATCCTCCCTTACCGACCGAGCCCAGGGAGTGTATCTATGTGACCTGATGTGTATGGTAAAGTGACCTAGGCCACATGACTATGGCCTAGCCAGTCAGAAGTTTATCATCCAGACTCCGATGATTGCTTTATGGCATGTTCACAGGGGCAGATCAAGATCCTCCCCAAAATCCCCTGCTGGAGATAGCACTCTCTGTCTTTGGGATTGCTGACTATGAAGAACACACGACTGCTGGCAGCTGGAGGCTGCTGTTCCTCTCAGAAGAGAGGGGAGTACCGTGATACAAAACTGTATTTAACGGGAGAGAATGGGGCTGAGATTTGCGCAGCTGGGATGTCTCTTGTGCTTATAAGTAATAGAAAGAAACCACAAAGAAGCTTGAGCCCAAAGAGACATTGACGACAGCGATTTTGAAGCATCCTATACAAACTCCCATGAGTGATCTGGCCAGCCTTGAAGACGACTGGATTTAGGGGTGTGTCTACCATGGGCATCACTGTCTCCCTCTCCGTTCTTCTGTCAGTGCTTTTGGCGTGTGTTCTTGGGTCAGCACTTAGTCTCCCCTTTGCCGGCACCCTGGGCTTCTCCGCTTGTTCACTGGGAGTTACCCCACATCGAACGAAGCTTCTTTTCCAGAACATGTGGCAGGCTTCTTCATCTCATTGCTGTTCTCGGTGTCCCACATGAGGTCCCCGGGGTCTAATTCCTGATAAGGGCCCCACCCCACAGCCCTGGAGCTCAGCTCTTCTAGAACAATCTCCCCAGTGGTGTGAGGAATCAACATGAGAAATTACATCATGAAAAAAGATCAAGAGTTGCACAAGCGAGGAGGTAGAAATAGGGCTCAATTTAAAGAGACGTATTAATATGAATGAGCTTTTAATAAGCAGAGGCATAAAGGGGGAATCATATTCTTGGAATGAGCAGAGGAATGGCAGGCAGCAATTCACAGGCTGACCCAGCCAGTCCTACTTCTGCATAAGTGATGATGCAGCCCCGTTTTTTCCATGCCTGCACTGGGGAGTGAATGAGGCCTTGGGAAGCCTGCCCCCTTTTGTCTGTAGCCAATTTGTTGAGATGGCACACATCCCAAGGCTGAAAGGGGAGGACCTTCTAAGAATATTTTTCTTCCTGGAATAAGGAAAAATAAACGTGAGAAGGAATTGATTCACATCCTCTGCTATGCCTGCTTTTGGACTAGATCATGCCAGTTTTGAAGCACAGAGCTGTGACAGCCATCTTGGGTGTAGAAGAAAACATGTTTAAGGCTGAACATTCAGAAAGCCAAGGATGGCAGAGGTACAGAGTGAGGGATCTGGGGAGCTTGAGGATGTTTTAGATTCATCCTGTCCTCTCAATAAATCCTAGAACCCACCTCAAAATAAATAAATAAATAAAGTAGAGTTTCCAAGACTGAAGTTCTTATCGGCCATGGTCCTTGGCACAATTCCAACACATACAAATTTTAGAAATTTCTGAAAAGAATGGGAAACTTCTCTTTACTTAAGCAACAATTGACCACAAATACAGAGTCAAGAGAACACTCCATTATTGAACAGTGTAAATTTTAATGTGTATATATATATATATTTTTTAACAAAGCTTTGTTTGAAAGGCAAGTGTGTATGTCAGAGAGAAACAAGAAATCCTTCCCATCAGCTGATTCACTCCCGTAATGGCCTCCATGGCATGGCCAAGGTCAGCAGCTGCTTCCAGATCTCCCACTTGGGTAACAGGATCCAAAGTCCTTCGTCACCTTCTCTCCTCCCAGGTGTATGAATAGGGAGCTCTATTGGAAGAAGAGCAGCTGGAACTCATATCAGTGCTCTAATATAGCATGCCTGCATAGCAAGTGATGGATAAACCTGTTGCCCCATGACATTGGCCCCAATATTTCCTTTAAATGCTGAGATTTATGTGCTCTGCATTTATCCATATCTTACAGCATGCCCACAATACCCAATTTATTGTATCAACAAGTTTGTTTCACAGATAACAGTGGTCAGACTCAAAGGCTTAGTCATGTAAAAGGAGTGGCTGAAAGTGGACACTACCCTATTGGAAGCCATTAACAGTCCCTAGGAGGAGGGTGCTAACCAACTGGATTTGAGACATTGATGGTAAATACTCTACATGGTCTTCCCTTAGGGACAGGGGTCAAGTCTTTTGATCCTCTGTTATTGAATACTCTTATCCATTTCTTCCTCCAGACTAATGGCCATTAGTCTGATCTCTCATCGCTCCATCCTTTTCACTCTGTCTTCCTTCTTCCTCCTGTCCTTCCATTTCAATGAGCTTCAGACCCTTTAACAGTCTTATTTCTCTGATTCCCATCCCACTGTCCCCAACTTCTTTATCTACTTCCTCTGTTTCTCTGTCTTTTTCATTAGAAATCGCCTTTTGTGCCCGTACCATGTTACTTTGGCCCATAAGAGCACACTGCTGATCCGCTCTCTGTCCATCAATCAAGCTGGTTTTGACACAAAATGAATTCTTTCCATGGGGTCTCATATTTGAATGATCCACTCTGAATGACACACCAGTCATCTGAACACTTCTTGCCAGATTCTTTATTGGAGCCTCATAAAGGGAGAATTCCAAGTCCCAGATTCTTTTATGTTTCACAGATTCCATTTGTTGTTTAAAATACTTCAGCTCCTGTGCTATCGAAGGGGCAATTCTGAAGCAGAACTTTAGCTCCAAGTTGGAGCAGTTCTCTTTTTTCGATATATCCCATAAAAACTGCATACAAAGATTCATCTCCTTGTCCCTTTCCTCCAGCAGTTTTCCCACTTCTCTGCAGGACTTCTTTCCTAGCTGGTTGTGGTTGTCTTTTACTAGGTAAGACATCGCATGAAAGTATTCTTGGAAGCTAATGTGCCGGAAACTGTAGAACTTCTTCATGCCAAGTCCTTCTTGGTAATTGTTGCTGCTCAGGAAAGCACCAAGTCTGGGCCCATCTAAATTGTGTTTCCTGAGGTCAGCTTCTTCAAATAGAAACCTGTGACACTGGGTCCCCTCAAATGCCAAGGAGCAAAGACCCTCCAGGACCCCGTGCCGAGTAAGCGCAGGGCCCCTGTCGTCGTCTGGTGACAGGAAGGTGGAGACGTAGGCAGTGAAGATGTCAGTGCTGTTATTGGGCATCTCTGAGACCTTCTGGCCTCTCTCCATCTTCTTCCTCAGCCAGGAGCAGACCATCCAGCAAATGCCTGGCACCTGACACGCTTTGTAAAGAACATCATTTCCTTGGACAACTTCAAAAGCATTTCTGGCTTGCTCCTCATTGGTAAAATAGGAGCTGAAATACTCCCTCCTCTCCTCCTCAGAGAAGCCTAGGACGTGGACATGGCTGGGTTGATACAGCAAGGGCTCCAGATTCCGCAAAGCCGAGGGCCGTGTAGTGATAACCAGGGAGCACGTGGGAAGAACCTTCCTCCTGATGAGGCGGTACAGCAGGTTCTCCATGGGGCTCGGCTGCCTGAAGGGCCTCTGAAGCTCATCAAAGCCATCCAGGATGAACAGGAGCCTCTCCGGCTGCTTCAGAATCTCTGTGATGGGGGCTTCCTGGTCCCCACAGCACCAGAAGAGGAGCTGGTCCAGTTTTCTTCCTGGCAGCAAGACCACTTCTCTGCAACTCAGGTAGAAGACATAATCAAACGAGCCTTGGTAAAGGGTACCATTGGCCCAATCCAGCAGCATTTTCTTTGTCTGGGTTGTCTTGCCAGTGCCAGCATTCCCTTGGAACACCACTACACGTGGGGCTGGATCAGGTATCTCTCCTGAACCAAACAGATCCTCCACCTGGACAGAATCCAGCTCCCACTCTGAACTGAGAGCTGATCTGGAGCTCTCAGCGCTGGGCTTGATCACAAGGAGCAGCTGTTTGTAGGTACTGTCGATCCCTCCTTCCTGCCTCTCTTCTAGACAACGCACATGCTCCCGGTATATTTCTCTGTAATCTGAACCAGACAGATGAGGCATTAGGTGTAACATGAGAGTTTTTTAAAAAAAAAAGTCTAAATAGACCCTTCAAGCTCTGACTGTGCTCTTCAATTTCTAACATGAATCTTTTTGAAGATTATGCTTCTAATTTCATGAAGGATCCCATATGTGTATAGGAGTGTGTGTGTGAGAATGGGTGAGTATTCATGTGAAACGCCCCCATGGGAAGAGGTGAGCAGAGAGAAAGGAACAAGAAGGAGAAGTTGCAGGCGGTGGGCAACCTCAGCCTATCCTGAGAACAGACGGGTCGGATTCTAAAGAGAGCAGCTCTGAGTCCACAGATCCCTCACGTTTCTGTCCAACAAAGGAGCTCATAGGAGTGAAGGGAGCCCGTGAGAGGGAGCACAGGCAGCAGCAGGTGACTCTCTCCTCCCCAGAAGCCCTGAGAAGGAATAGGAGGCTCTGTGCACCCTACTGTCTAGACTGGCTCCACACAGGAAAAACATGGAAAGCAGCCTGAGCTGTATTCCAGTTCTGACTGCCACACCTGATGCCAATTCTTCCAGTTAGTACAAAGCCCTTCACTGATGCCACTCATGGTCTCCAAGCCATTTCTCCACACCTTCCCCCTTCTCTGATCCTTGCAACTGCAGGTAGGCAGTGGAGTGTGATGGCCGTGAAATGCTGTAATCTTTCTATCAACACATCCCTGCCATCTGCTCTTTCCAACCAGCACTTACTGAACCCTCTGTTAGAGGCCACCTGGGACCCCTGAGCACTGGGCACTCCCAGTGAAACGCAGAAGGCAGAGTGAGAAAAGACATGAGAGATCATAGAGGTGGATTCTGGTACCGTCCCAAACTCCCATCTCCCTGCAACATACTCACCATTTAAACAAACGAGGTTGAGCTGATCCACAAGTTCCATCAAGTGCATTTCCTTCAAGACTTCAAGCACCACTTTCACAGCCTCCTGTGCTCCATATATTAAAATCAGTTGAGATGCCAGATCTGGCTGACTCAGGCCCTCCAGCTCCCCTCGGGTCAGCTGGCGATGGCCCTTAGCTGGGGTCTTATTCTGTAAGTGGTATTTCAATAATTTGAAATTTTTTTCTTCAAGTTCATTCAAGGCCCAGATCAATGCCTGCTGGGGATTTGGGACCATGGCCATGATGATCTGGAAATAAAGGTTGAGATTCAGTCAAGGAGGCAGCAGGAGAGAACCACTGGTGAACTGAAGGTACCTGGGTGTAACAGGCAAAACAGCCACCTGTGTGGGTGCTGGGTTGTATCCCGGCTGCTCCAACTTTCGGCAAATCTGTGAAATATGGCCAGGGCAGATGAGAGACAAGGTACAAGATAACTACAGATTTCCAACAAAGATGGATACACAAGAAAGCAGAGGATATTGATGGGTCGGTCCCTGCTGCCCCTTTGCCAGGTGGCCTATGTGATTGCATCAGCAAGAGTTAGGAAGGTGTGTGGGAGCATGGATTCTCTTGCTGTCCCTGTCTGTCTCCCTGCCCCCACATTTGTCTTTCACTTCTCCCTCATTTTCCCCTCTTTTCCACGCACATTCTTTCTCAGCCCCTGTATGCCTCCTTAAACAGATAAGTAAGGGAAAAAACAAAAAAACTATGTTGGAGTCTAACGTTTCCATTGAAGTGAGCCTATCCCAGACTATGTGAATCCACACACAGCGTGACTGCAGGGACTTCTGAAACACGGCAAGAAAGTGAACCATGTGCTCAGCCTCACACACTCAGCCACTTGTGGAGTTTCCGAACTGGAAATCTAACTCAGAGAAGGAAATAAGTTCAATCCCCATAAGGAGGGAAACAGCCAAAGCTGGCATTATGGCATACTAGGTAAAGCAGCTGCTATATGGGTGCTGGCTTGTGTCCCAGCTGCTCCATTTCTGATCCAGCTCCGGGCCCATGGCCTGGGAAAATCAGCAGAAGGTGGCCAAAGTGTTTTGGTCCCTGCAATTTAGACAGAGATCAGGATGAAGCTGCTGGCTCTTGGTTTCAGCCTAGCTTAGGCCTGGCTGTTGCTGCCAGCTGGGTAGTAGAGTTGTAGACCAATAGATGCAAGACTCATTCTCTCTCTCTCTCTCTCTCTCTCTCTCTCTCTCTTTTTGTATCTCTGACTTTTAAAATAAAGAAAAACTTTAAAAATAGAGTATGTAGTTACCCAGAGTTTCTGAGATTTAACTATTAGAATTTCAACAATATACCAACAGAAGAGAGAAAGTGTTTGGAGGGTGTTAGGATACGAGGGATTTGGGCTGCAAGTCATGGGCCAGTTTGGAGTCCCAGGCCCAAGAAAGCAGGAGCAGGTGGCTCCAAAGGTGCAGGTTGCATGAGAGGACTCAGGGCTCCTATGCAAACCTCTGGTGTTGGTCGGGCTAATGCAAGGGAAAGAGAGGGCAACCCTGGGCCTGCCAAGAACACTGCAGTCTGTCTGGGTTGTTTCCACCTGTTCGGGGAGCTAGAGATAAGTTGAAAATGACTCAGCTCCCTGATGTAAAAACCCAAACAAGCCAGACTGGCTCCTTTCATCCCAAACCTACTAGCTCACTTCTGTTGGCAGTGGTGCTATTAAAATTGTAGATACCATCACCCAAGTGCTTGCATGTCATGTTGGAACTGAGAAAGAACTCCACCCATGCCTTTGGAAGCAAAGACACCCACACAGTAGATCTATCCATAGAAGAAGCACTTGTTTACCAGGAAACAGTTTTACCCCAATCCATCATTAATTGCAGTTGAGCAACAGTAGAAACAGGAGACATTGTTGCGATTCTTTCAGCAAGAGAAAAAGAGCCCAGCAGAGAAGCAGATGTTCTGTGTTCTTCACCAAGACAATAAACCCTTTTCTCTGCCTTGGCCTCATCAAACTGAGGCAGTTTGGAAAAGGAGTTAAGAATCACTACCTCATCATTGGCCATTGCATTTTTTTCTTCGAGTTTTTGAAACCACTGTAGGATGTACTGTCCCAATATGAAAAGGGAAGAAGGCAAGGGTGCCCTGAAATAAGAATGCAAGAACATCTCCAAGAAGGTGTGAGAGGTGAATTGATGGCTTCCAGCCTTCTGAAAGAACTTGAGAAGATACCAGAACATTGAGAAGCTACCAGAACTTACTAGCTAGCAGTAAGTTCCAAGAAAACAAGACAAGTGAAAGCCAAATAAAGAAATTAGTAGCTGTAGGGAAAGTAAAATGTAAGATGAGAAATCCAATATTAAACCACACATACTCAGAGGTGAATACTGTTTGAACAAAAATAATGATGTAACCACTGAATATTGATCTAATTAGATCATAAACATATTGAAAGGGTGGTGATGAAATATGCTAGAATATAAGGTCAGTAGATAATTCCTAAGATTTCTGACTCAAAAAGTAATGTTTACACATACTATTTGGGAATGCAGTGATATAAGAAGACACCAATAAAATTTAAAGTCTTTGCCTTGGGGAAGAATCGGGGAATAGTGGCAGTAATGGACTACAGTTTTGAGGCACGTACTTTTTAAGCTTAATTGGCTTTTTAAATCATGGGCATATAATTCTTTGATAAAGTAAGAACTAATTTAGAAAAGAAAAAATGGTAAGGTAGAGTAGAGTTAACATGTATAAGCAAATCTTTCAAAGAAGCTTGGCAACAAAAGAAATATAAAAGTTCCTGGGGTAATGTGGCAAACGTGGCACCCAGGTTTTGTTTGTTCACGCATGCAAGAAGGTCGAATATATGTGATTGCTAAGCTAAAGTATCCAATAGAGGCAATAGTATAGAGGTGGAGGCTAGAGAAGGAACAGAATGGAGGCTGGAATGGGTCCAAAACAAAGGGAAAAGATCAATCTTTAACAAGACAATGGAAGCAACATCCCCCTCCTTTTTGTGAGGAAAGCAACAGGGAGAGGGGGCATTCGGCAGAGAAAGACAGGTACCTGGGCTCTCTGATCATGTCCACGTGCCTGTATTCTCTAGGAAGCATGAATAACAGCATCGCCCAACAGCAAGAGGGCAGAGTGCTGGCGGCTGCCAGGCGCCTTCCTTCCTGTACCTTCCTCCCTCTTCCAAGGCCTGGCACCCACTGCTCAGCAGCTACCGCCGGAGTCCTGGAGCACTTCAGGACTAGAAGCTTCTCTCCAAGAGCCATGAGCCAATTGAGACTAGAGACAAAAGCAAGACAGCCAAGAAACAAATACAAGAGAAAACAGTGAGATAAGAGCTGCAACAACGAAATAAGAGAGCTCCGGAGGCCGCTTACCGGGACTGGATGGTGTCAGGCCTGGAGGTCCCTGGCCAGGGAGTCCGCAGAGTCGCTCACGAGCAAGTGAGAATAAGATGTGTAAAAAGTCGCTCTAAGAGGAGGGTGGAACCAGGAGGCAGGAGGTGAGAGGAGGCCGCCCTTCTTGGGGGAGGGCCTGTGTCGGGCACAGAGCTGACAGCAGGTACAACTTCACGTAAAGGGAGAGGATGAAGACAGGGACCTGGGCCAGAAACAGAGTCAGATCAGAAAGTGTAAGAAGAGACAGAGAGAAGCATGAGAAGACAAATGAGAGAAACGGACAGAGGGAGCTAGCTGGTCAGTGTGGTTCTCTCTCTCTCTCTCTCTCTCGCTCGTTCTCTCACACACACACTATATATAGGTTATTTCTTGACAACCAAGTCAAGAATCAGTAAAAATGATAAATATATATGAAGGAACTAACTAGAGTTTAAGTCAAGCTGCTGGAGTCTCCTGCCTGTATTATAATCCGTCCCTACCCATGCAAGTGGATACCAAGGCAAATTGGGTATACATCTTTACACTTAAGTTTTTAGAACTCCTTGTGTCTTTTTTTTTTAAAGATTTGGTTTATTTATTTTTTTATTGGAAAGGCAGATATACAGAGAAGAGAAGAGACAGAGAGGAAGACCTTCCATCCAACGATTTACTCCCCAAGTGGCTACAAGGGTCAGAGCTGAGCAGATCCAAAGCCAGGAGCTCAGAGCTTCTTCCAGGTCTCCCATACAAATGCAAGGTTCCAAGGCTTTGGGCCGACTGCTTTCCCAGGCCACAAGCAGAGAGCTGGATGAGAAGCAGGGCAGCCAGGATTAGAACCGGTGCCCATATGGGATCCCGGCACGAGCAAGGCAAAGACTTAAGCCACTAGGCTTCCACACTGGGCCCAGAACTCCTTATGTCTAACACAGGCAGGTTCCCCAACCCCAATCCATCCCCTCCTGTACAAGAGATCATTGAGATAGTTTTCCTGTGCCCCAAATATGGTCACTGTAGTCTTTATACCTTCATCAGCTATAATGTGTTAGCATGTAGGCTTGGTAAGTGAGACAGGAGCCCCGTGGCAGCCCCTTTGCAAGGATCTGTCTCGGCTGCCAGAGGCCCAAGAGTACTGCCACGAGGCCTGGAAGTGGAGGGAGACCCTCAGTCTCCCCGAGTGAGTTGGCAGCTTGTAGCAAGATGGAGGTCAGAAGATAGCAAAGGTCATGCCCGTGATGGGCCAGTTCCCCTATTTGCCTTCTTTAGCATGTTGCTGGCTCCACAGTGTAAAGGATAAGCCTGATCCCTGAAATGCATCTTGGACCAGGGGGCGCTGTGGCCTCCTCCAGACTGCACTTCCGGAATTTGCTCACAAGGCTGGGGAAGACTTTGAGCGCACCTTGCACTGAGACCAAAGGATCTGTGTGAGATAGACCTGAGGAGGAGTTACTCAATGGGCCATTGACAGAATCTCCACCAGGACTAGGAAACCTGGCCCAAGAGAGCAGCTGGCAGTCCAGAGCCAGATGCTGGCAGGAGGGACGACACCCATGAATCAACAACAAATCTAAAATTAGGAGGGAAGTCATGAGGGGTTAGTTAGGGTTTAACAGGGCCACATTGTGATGGAAGGCTCTAAGTAGGAGGAAGAAACCTCGTGATAATTCCCGGTGGAGGCCAGCCCAGCAGGGCAGAAGGAACAGGTGCATCATTGTGATTCTAGACACAGTCACCCAGGATTCTAATCTGGATCATCCTGAGAAAAGCCATTGTTCTCTAATTGTTTTCTGTATTTTGCAGGAGCGGGTGGGGTAAAATCTTTCCCTCTATGCTGGGGAGTCTCTAACTAGGACCTTCAAACTAACAGAAGCAGATTCATGCAAGATGCGTGTACATCTCACCTGATATTAATATTTTTACACGGCATAGGGAAGCTTCATGAACAAGAAGTGAAAATTCAAAGGTGCTTAAAGTTGGAAGCTTGTAGTAAAAAGATAGAAATTTGTGGAGGAGTAACAAAATAGTGGGTTCTAGAGTAGTAAATCGTGGGGAGGCAAATCAGTAGTATATGGAGAAAATAATGAAATTGATGAGATACACAGGTTATTTTAGTAAGATTTGTCTGCGTAGGTTCGACTCAGTGTTAACGCCCGTTCAGCTTTCCCTGGAACGGGGACAGTCCCTTCCCATGGGATTTGCGCCCTGCGGAGAGCACAGAGCACACCCATTGCTTCTCAGTGGTGATCAGCACAAAATCACCGGCACACCAAAGCTGCATGTCTTTTTTTAAAAGAGTCATTTATTTTTTTTATTAGAAAGGCAGATTTATGGAGAGAAGGAGAAACAGAGAGAAAGATCTTCATCCACCAATTCACTCCCCAAGTAGCTGCAAAAGTCGGAGCTGAGCCAATCTGAAGCCAAGAGCCAGGACTTCTTCTGGCTCAGGCACAGGATCCCAAGGCTTTGGACCATCCTCATCTGCTTTTCCAGACCACAAGCAGGGAGCTGGATGGGAAGTGAAGTGTGGGGACATGAACTGGCACCCATATGGGGTGCTGGCACTTGGAGATGGAGGATTAAGCAGTTAAGCCTTTGCACCGGTCCCAGCGCTGTATATGTTATAATGTGCTGCTCTGATTCCTTTCTGCCTCAAGAATGAGTTCTAAATGAAACCCTCGTTTAGCATTAATGAAAATGTAAAGTGTTTGACAGTTTCTTATAAACACCCACACTACGTTCTAACCATTTCAGTACTAGGTGTTTGTCCAAGAAAAAGAAAACATTGTGTCTACACAAAGAGTTATACATGAATGTTCACAGATGCTTATTTCATAATGGCCAAACATTGTGAATCACATCGACAGCTGAGTGAACGGACAAATAATGATCTATCTGCCAGATTTATCGACCACACAAGAAAGGAAATACCAGCCAAGTGCAAACAAGCCTTTATCAAACAAAGTGAGGTCTGTACCTGGGCCTTTGTCCATGCAACAGAGGAGCAGGCAGACAGGACAGAGCTGCAAGAGAGGGCAGGCAGAAAGGAGCAAGGAGCTGATACACGCTCTGCTTGAGCCCTGGTAAGGTAAGAAATATTGACCCAAGTCCATCACTGGTCCATCCAGCTTTGGCTGCCTTCGGGACATGCCAGATCTCTGGCTGTCACTGTGGTGTCCACCCACTTCCTGTAACCATGGTTACCATCAATATCCATACCCTGTAATACTGTTCCTTATTTTAAAAATAAGGAGAACCACTGGCGTGGCAACTACCAGTCTGAATGACTTCACTGTGCATAATTCCACTGTAGCAGAGGGGTGGGGCCCACGGGCCCTGCGCATACGCCTGGCTTCCTGTGTGGGCGTCCACCGAAGCCAGCGGGCTGGGCATGCCATCAGCGGAGGGATGGGGCGGTGGGCTACTAAGGGGTGGCTCCTGCTTAGCCCTACACGATGAGGGAGTTCGAGGGAGTCGGCGCTGTGGTGGCTACCTGTCACTCCAGCCAGTCACTGAGGAGGTGGGAAGGATTCTGCAGGCCCCACACTCACCTGTACTCCTCCTGGCAGGCATGACCCTGGGTTTCCAGGCAGAACTACTTTAGCTTGCTCCTCTGGACGGCCAGAGGTGGTGAGTTTAATGTGTCCACTTGACCAGGTCACACTGTCGACATTTGATCAAACATTATTCCAGAAACTGATATTTGAAACAGCCAGGGCTGAGCTGATCCGAAGCCAGAAGCCAGAAGCTTCTTCCCCACGCAAGCCAGGGCTAAAGGACTCGGGCCATTTTCCACTGATTTCTTGGGCCATTAGCAGAAGTGCAGCAGCCAGAACTCTCCTATATAGGTTGCTGGCACCACAGGCAGAGGCTTCGCATGCTGTGCTGCAGTGTCAGGCTCCACCAGAACTGGTGTTTTTGTCTGTTTTATTCATTGTCAATTATATTTCCATGCCAATTTAGAATTCCCATACTGTAGGTTAGCGGCCACTGAACACACCAAGGAAGGGCTAGCTAAAGACCCATTCAGTAGTGTGTGCTCTACAAAGCAAACTACAGTTTTAAAACTACACTTTTTAAAAAGTCTTACACAGCCTGCCTTACATTTCCATTTTTCCCTCTTAAAAGGAATTTAAATGCTTCACAGGGAGGTTAACTGCTTCAAAGCCAAGAAATACATGCCAGGACCAGCTTAGCATCATGATTTTCACCTTCTTCATGTTTCTCCTGCCTCTGTTCCTTACGAGTTTCTTTAGCCTTGACACTCCATGCCTTGGTTGTCCTTCACCCCAGTTTACATTTGGCAGCATTCTGAGTATTTCCCCTTCAGCTTAGCAAGCTTCTCGTTATTGGCAGCAGTTTGATTCCACCACATGTCTTCCAGTTTCTTGGCAACATTGCCAGTCAATAGGCCAGAGCGCCCTCTCTTGATTTGGGGTGGGGATACTCAGAACTAGAAAAATTTCATAAGAGGAGCCAGCGTGGTGGCATTGCTAGCTAATCCTCCACTTGCAGGATCAGCATCCCATATGAACACCACTTCCTATCCCAACTGCTCCACTTCCCATCCAGCCCCCTGCTTATGGCCTAGGACAGTGACAGAGGATTGTCCAAGTCTTTGGGCTCCTGAATCCATGTGGGAGACCCAGAAGCAGCTCCCAGTTCCTGGCTTCAGACTGGCCCAGCCCTGCACATATGGGGAGTGAACCAATGAATGGAAAATCTTTCTCTCACTTTATGCCTCTGTCTCTGAAAACTCTGCCTTTCCAGTAAAAATAAATGACTCTTAAGAACAAGATCGAAGGAGGCCTTTGGGTGACTGGGATCCTTGCACTTAAACTGCCTCTCCTTTGGCAGGGATCCAGGCTTTCACTTCTACACTTGATCTTAGCCAAAAGGCTGAGAAGCGATAGGCTTTCACTTCTGCGTCAGTTGTCCATTTGCTGTGTGTCTTCGTGTTCCCCCTTTTCTTAAGCAGATGTGGCCATCCCCTCCCCCAGCTCTTTGTAGAAAATTCCGAGATGTCAACAGGAGTACCTGAGTGGCGAGATTGGCAGCAATGCAGAACAGCTGAACTATCGAAACCACTTGAACAATGCCCTCGGAGCATGCCCCCTGGGATGGTTGGGAGGCTGGGTGTGGCTTCTCCCTGTGTCTCTCCCTTCCCCCAGATACAGGAGGAAAAATGGAGAATATGGAAACAATGGTCTTACCCACTTTCCTGTAACCCTTGACCCTTTGAGCCCTAATCAACTATGTAAAGATCATAAAAATAATTAATTAATTAATTAAAAACTCCGAGGTGTCAACAGGAGCACCTGGGTGCTTCTTCCTCCCCACAAACATGCTCAAACAACACATGGGGTGCCATTTGCCTCTAGGCTCTCCTTTGCCGGTATTTGGCTGCTCTCATTTGGCTGTGGTGGTGTTTTTCCTCTCTGGAGCTCAATGTAGTTCCACCGGAGAATCAGCTTATTGAATTAACTGGCACTTTATGATACTGTGAAAAGCAAAGTCCTTTCTACATTAAAAAAAAAAAAATTTTATACTGATTTTTATTTGAAAGCCATACAGAGACAGAACTTCCGATCTGTGGTTCACTTCAAACTTCCCACAATAACCAGGATCAAGCCAAGAGCCCAAAACGCCAACCGAGTCTCCCACGTGGGTAGCAGAGACACAACCACATCACCTGCTGCTTCCCAGGGTGGACATCAGCAGTAAGCCAGACACGGAGAGACTCGTATCCATCTTCATTCACGGCTGCAGCCTCCCAGCCGTCTGAGCAAACGCCTATCCCAAAGCCCGGTTATAACGTGCTTTTGACATTCAGCATCCCTTGTGGAGGCTAAGCGTGAACCGCGGCTTTTGAGCTGCACTCTGGCTCCACCTGGCGGCTGCTTTGCAGGCCGAGTTTAGTGTCTTCTAGCGCCGACCCAGATTGGTTCGGAACTATGTACCCAGGGTCTTACTGAACGCACGGCGGACCGAAAGTAAGGAGCACAAGTACCGGAAGAATGCCAACAGCACGCACGAAAAGTGTCACCGGTAGCCAATAGGCACAAAGGATTCTTTCACGTGATGTCTACTCAGCCTATGGGACGGCTGCGATTCAACAACTCCTTCCCTTCCGCTCGCGCTCTTCCTTTCTCGACAAGATGGCGACCCCGGCGGCTCCTGCCAGTGCTTCTCCTTCCGCGCCGGTCGCAGCCCCGGCCGCAGCTCCAGCGCCAACCCCGGCCCCCGCCGCGGCACCGGCCCCGGCCGCAGGGCCCACGTCGGCCCCGGCGCCAGCTGCGGCTCCCGCGGCGGCCCCGGCCGCGTCCCCGGACCCCGCGGCGACCGGGCCCGGGCAGACCCCGGCGGCGGCGCCGGCCCCCGCGCAGCCGGCAGCGCCCTCGCTGCCCAGTCCCGCGCTCCCGGGGCCCTTCCCTGGCGGCCGCGTGGTCAGGCTGCACCCGGTCATCCTGGCCTCCATCGTGGACAGCTACGAACGACGCAACGAGGGCGCCGCCCGGGTGATCGGGACGCTGCTGGGTGAGTGGTCGGAGGAACGCGGCTCCTCCCGGTGCTTGGTCCCCGTGCACCCCTGACCCGTCCAGCCCCGTCCTCCCAGGGGTCTGGAGCCGACTCCTGAACGTGTAATGCAATGGGGGAGATTAGCAGGGAGAGGTGTAACATAGCTGTTGGTTGCATCCACTGCTAAAATACATTCTCTACGTGTCTTTGGTGTGTGTTGTCTAGAAACCTACGTTGGCTTGTTGTCTTCTTAACGTGGGCATCTGTGGATAAGTGCTGCGGCCAAGGTTTATGTTTAGGGTCCCACATGTCACAGTGACCCCTGTCACATCAGGGTCCAGTCCCCTCATCGTAGGTCAGTGCCTAGCAGAACGCGGGACAGGTCCTGTTTTTTAGGGTCGTAATAGTTGTCTAAATTCCTGAAATGTAGTTCACTTGGTCAAGCGGAGTCGCTCGTGCTTGTTGGGTGTCATGAAACCGTTTGGTACTTAGAATTAAAGATCTGATAAAGGATTTCTACTGTAACTTTAAACTGTGCTCCTGTCAGCAATGAGAGAGTAATGCAGTAGAGCGGTGTTGCAGTGTGGCAGTGCGGAAGACACAGGTGTTTCAGGAAATGGGACGTCGGAGCAGGGCGTCAGAGTGTCTGTGAGACTGTGGGAAGCTGAGAAGTCCTGGATCTGAAGGAGTCAGGATTGTGCAAGTGAAGGAGAGAGGAGATGTGACAGGAAGGGCAGGTAGCACGTGAGGGCCATGAGAAGTGTGAAGGGTATTGCTGGGAGCTGTGAGAAGTTTGGGGCAAGACTGAAAAACAGGAATGAAAGATCAGCCTGGTTGCTGGGTAGAGACGTGGCCGGGTGCCTCGTGGTAGAGACTGTCCGAGGATTAGGAAGGCACTGAAGGGGAGCTGGTGGAGTCGGAAGTGAGACTTGGTGCAACTGGAACTGAGGAATTAGAGGACTCCTGGCCCCTTGATTAGATGTGGAAGAAGAAAGAGAAGGTAGAGACTGACCTGAGTGTGGGATCAACTCCAGTGGAGTTGTTGAGTGGAAAATTAGTGTTAAAACCTGGAGTCCAGGAGGTGTGGGCAAGAGTGTCAGCTAAGGAATTAACGTCAATGCTGTCAGTTCCACGAAAAGCAGTGAGATCAGCTAAGGAACTGGCCGGCTCTGTGCAGAGGTCCTGGCAGTAAATGTTTCGGGCTCTGTGTGAAGTCTGCTAAAGTTACTTAGCCAGACCTTCATAGCAGGAAAGAAGCATGAGCTAAGGAACCAGGCATGTCATCTTTTACTTATGAAACATTTCTAGGTCAGGGAAGAGCCTGGTGGCGTGGAAGCGCAAAGAAAGGAAGATCTTAAAATGGAAGCAGTCTAGCCGTTTGAATGCTGCTGAGAGGTCAGATAAAAACAAATAAACTCAGTGGGTTTAGGGACAGAGTTGACACTACGAGGGAAGAAGCTGTGATGATTTGGAGATGGATGAGTACTGACGTGCAGGGAATCGTGATCTGTGATGGAGAGGAACGCGCTGGAGGCCTGGGGCTGCGAGCTACCAGTAGATTAGAAGAGAATTACAGGGTCAGCATGTGCAACGGGTCAAGCCATTGCTTGTGGCACCAGCACCCCACCGAGAGCTGGTCCAAGTCTTGACTTGGTCTGAATCACTGCCAATTTGCCTGGGAAGACAGCTGAAGCTAAGCCAAGTCCTTGGGCCCTGCAGGGGCAGCATGGGGCTCTTGGCTCCTGGCTTCAGCCTGGCCCAGCCCTGCCTGTTGAGACCTTTTGGGAAGTGAATCAGCAGGCGGAAGATCTCTCAGATACACCTTAAAAAACAAAGTGGAAGCTGAGGATGGAATGTGGTTGGAGTGAAGGTTTCAGAACTAGGAGAACAGAAGTTTGAGGTGAGAGATTGATACAGGACTGGTGGATGGTGAAGCTTTAGGCTTTGACCACAGCCACATAGCTGAGTCCAGCTCCCTCGGAGTGGGCTCTGTTAGACGAGGCTGTGTATTGGTAGACTGTAGGCACTGAATACTTGCCTGGGGATAGGCATTGTTTACTGCAGTGGTTAAAGTGCACTGGGTCCTAGCCCCAGCCCTCTGCTGCTGCTGCTGCTTCTTTTTTTTTAAGGTTTGTTTTTATTTGGAAAGTAGAGTTACAGAGAAGGAGAGACTTGGAGAGAGAGCTTCATCTGCTGATTTATTCCCCAAATGAGTCTAAGCACTGGAACTGAATCTGAAACCAGGAGCCAGGAGAGGAGCATCTTCCAGGTCTCTCATGCGGGTGCAGGGTCCCAAGGCTTTGGGCTGTCCTCCACTGCTTTCTCAGGCTACAGGCAGGAAGCTGAATCGGAAATGGAACAGCAGGGACTAGAAGCTGTGCCCAAGTGGCACTGCAGGCAGAGGATTGACATGCAATATGGCGCTGCCTCCCCTTCGCCCCCATTTTTTTTTTTTCAAGATTTTAATCATTTGAAAGACAGTGCTACAGGAAAAGGGCCAGGGGAGAGCTTCCAACTGCTGGCTTACTCCCTGAATGGCCACAGTGGTCAGTGCTGAGCTAGTCCAAAGCCAGGACCCAGAGTTTTCTTCTTGGTCTTCTATGTAGATGCAGGGACCCAAGGACTGGGACCGTCTCCAGCTTCTTTCCCAGGTTCGTAGCAGGGAGCTGGATCACTAGTGGAGCAGCCAGAATTGAAATCTGTACCCATCACAGGTAGCAGCTTAACCCACCATGCCACAATGTTGCAGTCCCTCTGCTCTGATCCTGCTTCCTGCGCATGCACACCGTGGGAGGCAGCAGAAGATAGCTCAGATATCTGGGTGCCTGCCACCCATGTGAGGGACCCAGTTTGAGTTTCGGGGTCCCAGCTTTGACCTGGCTTGCCTTGGCTACTGTGGACATGTGTTTTTCAGATAGAATGAAAATAGATGAATAGAGTGTTTTTTTAAAGACTTGTAAGTGTGCAGATTCAGTGTCTGGGAGATGGTATGGCGTGAGTGAAGGCCTGCAGCAGTGCTCATGCTAGAAAGCAAGGACCAAAGGAGACCTCCCGCAGGAAGATGAACCTTCCATGGTGGCGGGGAGAGTGCGGGTTCCCCGAGTTCAGCTTGTTCTTGAGTGGCTTTGAGGATACTTTCAGAAGTGTTGGAAATGTCCCTGGAGGCTGCTGGGAGCGCAGGACTATGTAACACAGGGTTGATTGTCTCTCTCACAGGAACCGTGGACAAGCACTCGGTGGAGGTCACCAATTGTTTTTCAGTGCCGCACAATGAGTCAGAAGATGAAGTAAGTGGGGATTTGAACTGCAGCTTATGGCTGTTCATTGCTGGGCCCCTTCCAGGCCCCTCTGCACAGCACTTGCTGTGCCGGTACCCAGCTCCTCCCTGCAGCCAGGGAGCCTCGGGCCGTTTGCTTGTGCTCCCCGGCCTCGGCTCTGCTGGGATGGCCTCCTGTCCTTTCTGCCCTCTTTGGCTTTGGACTTTGGCTTCTCAGCTTCCTTTCTCTCTTAGGTGGCAGTTGACATGGAATTTGCAAAGAACATGTACGAGCTACACAAAAAAGTCTCTCCAAATGAACTCATCCTGGGCTGGTAAGTTGGGCCTGAAGGATAGGCACGAATCTTGGAGGTTGCCCAGGCCTTTACCACCAAGCTGGACCCTGCCCTTCCCCTCCTGGAGTCAGAGCAATGAGAGTGTGTTACCTTGAGAAGCTATGGATTTTGTTTGGCTGCAGTTCTGATTCTGTGAGGCCAAGAATATGTATTTTGGACTGTAACTTTTACTACGCAGCTTTTTTTTTTTTTTTTTTTTTTTTTTTTGCCTTGCAGAAACTTGAAATTTTTCAAGAACACTAAATCCACCTTGGGTTGTATTTGACAGTCATGTGTATACTGTCTGTGGCATTTGGCATCACCATGTGTCACTCTGAGAGGGGTGTCAGGTACCCCTAGGGACACCTACAACACCCTTAAACTTGGTGTCACATGTGGACATGAGTCCATGTCTGTCCCCCTTCTGCAGGTACGCTACAGGCCATGACATCACAGAGCACTCTGTGCTGATCCACGAGTACTACAGCCGGGAGGCCCCCAACCCCATTCACCTCACCGTGGATACCAGTCTGCAGAATGGCCGCATGAGCATCAAGGCCTACGTCAGGTGAGCACAGGCTCTTGGGCCACAAATCAGGTGCCATCTGGTTCCCTGCTTGCCTCCACTACTATCCCACCACTGCCAACACCAAGTTCTTTAATTCGTTTTCAACGTGTTATTTATTTCATTCCCAGTTCTTGGCATCGGAAGGGTTTTATCTGAAACTGGATTGCCCCATAATGTCCGCTTGCTGACCCTAAGTGCACTCCAGGTTTCCTCTTGACCAGTTTCAAGTGGAAGCCATTGCTGTCTCCTCGGGAGCCCAACCACAGTCCCCGTATCCTCCTGTGAGAGTCTTGTGCTGGTCCTCTCCCAGGCCTCCGCTTGGCTGAGTGGCTCTTCAGGTCTCCGTTAGCTCTGGAACTCAGTGCAGCGTAGGCGATGATGGCCGGCTGTGTTTTGAGCACGTGTTCGCTCAGGCTTGAAGGCCGTGTTGGTGACAGTGATGAAACTGTCGACCCACTGAGCTCACAGGCAGTTGCAATGCCAGCTGTTGGGAGAGGTCTTAGGACCACGCCGAGGAAGCTGATGGGGGAGGTGAAAGAACTGACTGCTGGTTAGAGAGAAGGCGTTTCTTGCACTGCTTAGTTATGTGCTGTTTCTGTTTGGGTAGTAAGATCTGTGGGTACCAACTGGCAGACAGCTGCGCTAAGCGGGCTTTCCATTTAGCCCTAGCCATTGCTTGGCTACCCCTGGCAGATATTTCAATCAGTGCAAGATCCCATGGAAAGTTTTTCAATGCTAGGGAAGGACTTGGGGCCCAGGAAAGACCCATGCGTGTCCATGTGTCCTTTCAGCGAGCCGGTGCCTGGGGAGCTGGCCCCACAGGGACGTCCTGAGTCCTGTCCTCTCACCACTACCACGTGTGTGACACAGTCCTCTAAAGGGACCAGGCCTGTCCTGTAGACTGAGTTCCCTCACAAGCTAAGGGGTCAGTGTCGAACGAGCTCACGTGGGGCCTCTGGGGCCTGTGTGTTATACTGCCTTGGAAGCTACACTACGGCTGCGACATGAAAACCCTCTAAGGCCACCTGCTTATCTTCACTTCTCTCCGCAGCACCTCGATGGGTGTCCCAGGGAGGACCATGGGAGTGATGTTCACACCTCTGACCGTGAAGTATGCCTATTACGATACTGAACGCATTGGAGGTGGGTGACTCCCACACACTGCTGAGAGACCTGGGGTGTTCTTCCTGGAGGGGGATTGCTCTACTGGGTGGAGGCCATGGGGGGTTCAAAGAGAAACCACTCATCTAAGGTTTATGGTGGCTGGAAGTGACTGTCATCCTCCTGTGTTAACAGTGTTCAAGGAATTATGAGACAGATTGTTAGATGGGACATAACACCCGCTGAGACCCAGACCAGCGATTAGGCAAGGGTGTGTGGGGATGCCTTCTATCAGCAAGAGGGAAAGCTCACAGGGCAGAGCAGGGGCTTCGGGCAGGCCGGCTGAGGCCCCAGGATAGTGAGAGACCCCCTCTTTCCCGTGGGATGGCTGAATTCTCTGTGCTTTAAACTCATCACTGTGTCCCTGCCCCTCTCCCAACCCACACCACAGTTGACCTAATCATGAAGACCTGTTTCAGCCCCAACCGGGTGATTGGGCTGTCGAGTGACTTACAGCAAGTAGGCGGGGCGTCCGCTCGCATCCAGGATGCCCTCAGCACAGTGTTGCAGTACGCCGAGGATGTGCTGGTGAGACGGGGAAGGGGGTGTAGCCATCTGCTGCACATCATGGAGGGATCTGCCGGGGTCTGGCAGTGCCTGGAGAGGAGAATTTACTGTGCCTCGTTGGATCTTTGTCTTGATGCGCAGTCTGGGAAGGTGTCAGCTGACAACACCGTGGGCCGCTTCTTGATGAGCCTGGTTAATCAAGTTCCCAAGATAGTTCCAGATGACTTTGAGACCATGCTCAACAGCAACATCAATGTGAGTGCCACGTGTGGCCCTCTGGGAGCCTGTCCCAGATGTGGAGGAAGCCGGGTGGGATTCCTGGAAGGAGAAGAGACACTCCACCCTGGCCACCTGCATTCCAGAACAGGCGGAAGTGGTGCATTTTTTCTTAAAAGATTTATTTATTTTTATTGGAAAAGTAGATATACAGAGAGGAGGAGAGACAAAGATCTTCCACCTGATGACTCACTCCCCAAGCAGCCGCAGCTGCTGGAGCTGAGCCAATCCGAAACCAGGAGCCAGGAGCTCTTCCGGGTCTCCCAAGCGGGTGCAGGGTCCCAAGGCTTTGGGCCATCCTCGACTGCTTTCCCAGGCCACAAGCAGGGAACTGGGGCCGCCGGGATTAGAGCCGGTGGCCATATAGGATCCCGGTGCATGCAAGGCAAGGACTTTAACCACTATGCTATCTTGCCAGGCCCAGAAGTGGTGCATTTAACGAGAGGTCCTCTTGGCCTCCCTTGGTGCCAGCGCCTCCTGTTACCTGACTCCATAAGAAATTCACAGGTCAACAAAAGTGCAGTTTCTTAGTTTACCCCAGATGAGTTCGCATTCCCCGTGTAGTCCACCCGTGGGTCTGGGGTATAAGTCTATCAGAGAGGAGAAACTGGTCCGTGTCTCCTTCTGTCTTGCACCTTCCACTCTTGCCAAATCTCTCCATGTTGTCATTGAGGTCCACCTTGCAGGGTGGGACCATCCTTTCTGTTCCCTTTCCAACTTAACCAACCTTTCCATCACTGTTATTCTTTGTCTTGCAGGACCTGCTGATGGTGACCTACCTGGCCAATCTCACACAGTCACAGATTGCCCTCAATGAGAAACTTGTAAACTTGTGAATGGGCCTCAAGCAGCACTCCTGCCAGTCTGGTGTCATTCCGAGGACTCAGAATGAAGTGGTTTCTTTGTGGTATTGAGTCACCTGAGTCAGTCAGCTATCTGTGACTAAATAAACTAGCGTACCTTTTATAAATGAATTCCATCTTCTGTGAGTTTATTGCTGGCTGCAAGGAAGAAATCTGTCTCAGACCTCACCCAGGCGGTGTTGAGTGTGGCTGGCCAGCAGTGGTCACACCCACAGCCCCAGCCACTTAGCTGCGTCCGAGCCCACCAGATGGCCACCATCACACTGGTGTTGCAGAGGTTCTCTCTCTCTCTCTCCCTCTTTGCTTTTTGGTCAGAGCCTCCAAAAAGATTAATGTTTGTCACTTCTCCATAGCATCTTACATGGATGGCAGCACAAATGGTTGCCTTGTGCCAGTGCTGAAGTACCTGGAGATATGCCACTGAGCGGGAAGAGAGGAAAGGAAGATGGCCACACATCTCAGGCTCGGCCCTGTGTGTCCCCACTGATAGAAAGGCCGCCGTCTCCGTGGTGAGCATGAACTGCTTTACCATATGGTTCTTGTGGTTTTCAGTCTTAACAGTGTGTACTGACAGTACGTGAGCTGTTCTTAGTGGGTTGTATGATTTCTAGCAGAAATGAAATGAGAATCCTTAGAGAAAGAAAGTAGTTGAGAGAGTTGAGTGTTTGCTCTGGACCAAAGGTAGAGTATGTGGTCATTGCTTCAAAATGCTTGAGTGATGAGATGGCCCTGTGCCGTTGGCTTCAGAAAAGCAGAATGAGGATCTGTGAGTCTAAGCTTTAAAAGATTTTCAAAGCCTGCAGAAAATTCTCGGGTGTTTTCTGTAACTGGGTAGACACATGGGATTATCTGCTCCTCCAGTGGTTGAATCTGAGCAACTACGTGCCATATCTGAAATACTTGCCTAGGTAAGCTTAAATCTCTCTCCTCTGATATCGTGTAGCTACACCTGGGTACTGAGATAGCTTTGATTGAGAAGGAAATAGTCATTTGGGGCTGATGAATGCAAATGTTAATGAAGGCACTGAAATTAAAAAGGCCTGAATATTCTGGTTTTGAAATCTATAACCTTAGGAAAGGCATTCTAGTGTTGTGAAGATGTGGATCACAATAATACATAGCTCATAAGGGTGTGGAACAGATACTGCGAATGAACAAATGCCAGGCCAGCTCTCAGAGGCTCCTTCCCCGCCCAGAGCAGACATGGCAGGAGTGCTTACTGCTTCTCCAGCCAAAACAGCAAACACTGGGAGCCCCATCCCGGATGTCAGCTCAGGCTCCGGGGTCTGTGGTCTAAGGAAAGGCAGATGCTGGGGGGGAGGCGGGTGGTAACAAAGTGGTACTGACTGTGCCAGATTGTGAGGGTAGAAGCAGAATGACCCGGAAGGAAGATGGATCAATGAGCTAAGATGTTTCCATATTCTGTTCTTTGGGGTGGGCAGTTACTGTCAACTTTAGTCTTTTTAAATATTTACCATGCAAATCCAAGGTTAACTACTGTAAATAATACATAATGCTAGATGAATAGTGATGAGAGATATTGGCATAACAAAAAGGAAAACTAAGAGGAGGGCTGACACCACAGCATAGCGGACTAAGATAACACTTGCAATGCCAGCATCCTGTATGGGTGCTGGTTTGTGTTTTAAAGATTTATTTCTATTTTTATTGGAAAGTCAGATTTACAGAGAGAGGGAAAGACAGAGAAAGATCTGCATCCACTGGTTCACTCCTCCAGTAGTCGCTATGACCAGAGCTGAGCCAATCCGAAGCCAGGAGCAGGAGCCTCTTCTGGGTCTCCCAGGTGGGTAAGGGTCCCAAGGCCATCCTTGACTGCTTTCCCACGCCACAGACAAGGAGATGGATGGGAAGTGGAGCAGGCAGGATACAAGCCAGTACCCATATGTGATCCTAGCATATGCAAGGCTAGGACTTTAGCTACTAGGCTACTGTGCTGGGCCTGCTAAATAAAAGTTTTAAAGACAGTAGAAAAATGTATTTTGGGAAATGAGTTTAGGGTTGGTAAAATAAGATGTCAAAAACAGGTCCAAATAGAAATCAAAATAAAGGTAAAAATTCTGTAGGATTTCATCAGATTTTCCCCCAGAGGTGAGGGAGTGTTCAACATTGAACCCAACTAAATCTGCCCACTGGCTGTCTGCAGGCAGTACACCTAAAACAGCCCAGAAGATAGTGCTGTGGCTAGCTTCAAATGGTCTTGCTAATGATATTCAATGGACAAAGCTAGCCTCAACAGAGAATCTCAGGATGCTGATATACATTCAGCAGCCAGTGAAACTGGCTTGTGATTTTGACAAATATATGTATGTGTGTAATTGGCATAGCGATTCTCTGGAGTAATAGTCAGGAGTCCCCATTGACCTGAAGTTAGCGATGACTGAGGTTACTCCTGGGGAAATAAGGGTTGCACTGCAGTTGTTTGTTGGGTCTCCCGTCACAGCTGTGCCATCAGCCAGTCAATACATATCCTTGTTTCATGTGGGTTTAGACACCTTGTTGATGTGATTGGCTGACGTCCAACAGTGCTCTAACTCAACAAAGCCCGGCTCATGTGATTTCCCCATAAGGCACATCATAGCCTGCACTCGCCATGCTGCAGAACTCGGGTGCTGAAACGGCTGAGCACAGAGTGCTTGTTTAGGCCTGTAACTCGACTGGAAACATGGGTGTCAAGGGACTGAAAATTTTCACCATTCTAAGCTTTTCAACAAATTAGCTGCAAAAGCAACGCAGTGTGTAATGATACAAGTTTGAAGTCACTGTGAGCAAGAGGTGAATTCACAAACACGCAATTTGCATGAGAATTTACAAGTTATCTATATCCATGCATATATGTGATACATATCATGAAATGGAAACCAAAAAGAAAAAAAGAATGGTAGACTAAAAATTTGTAGAAGTGTTTACCTCAGAGGTGAGAGAAGGCAAGCAAGTAACAGTGAGTGGGTTTCAGTTATCGGCAGTCATCTAGGTTGGACAGTAGGTTCATCAGTAATAATAAAAGAAAAACAAGAGCTACTCACACCACCACTCACAAGGTGGAGTTTACCATTAACTTTGTACTAGACTTAAAGCCATTGTATTCAAATGAGCGAAAATGGAGATAGTGAAAATAAGATGGAAAAGAAGCTGATTTATTTTATTAATGTTACCCAAAAGAAAACTTTAAAAATTCTTCTGATACGCCTGGCATGGTGGCCTAGCAGCTGAGGTCCTCGCCTTGAACGCGCCGGGATCCCATATGGGTGCCGGTTCTGGTCCTAGCAGCTCCACATCCCATCCAGCTCCCTGCTTGTGGCCTGGGAAAGCAGTTGAGGACGGCCCAAAGCCTTGGGCCCCTGCACCTGCATGGGAGACCTGGAAGAGACTCCAGGCTCCCGGCTTTGTATCAGTGCAGCTCTAGCCGTTAGCGGACGCTTGGGGAGTGAATCAGCAGACAGAAGGTCTTCCTCTGTCTCTCTTCCTCTTTGTATATCTGACTTTCCAATAAAAATAAATGTTTAAAAACTATGTATAGTAATCTTTGTTAGAACAGTGTAAGCTATCTCTGAATGTTTATGTGGAAAAAGAAACAAAATATCTCCAAAACACCTTCAGAGACAGACACTAACCTGAAAGCAGTGTGGCATAGTGTTATTAAAACTAAGTGGTAAGATCCGAAATTCATGTAGATAACACATGCTGGTGAGAATGTAGAGAATGCTCGAAAACTATTGGTGAGAATGTAAGTGCATTGATTACGGATGAATATTGGAAGTGCCTCAATACATTGAAAATAGAATTACCATATAATTTAGCAATTTCACAACTTGTGAATTTTGAAGAGGTATCTAAGAGTTTTTAACAGAGCTGTCTGAATTTGTATCTGTTTATTTATTCATTTCAAAGGCAAACAGAGGGAGAAATCCCACTCATTGGTTCACTCCCACAAGTGCCATCAGCAGCTGGGACCAGACCAAACCAAGCTTGGTAACTGAGTTCAAGCCAGGTGTCCCATATGGTGGCAGGGTCGCAACTGCATGACTGTCATCTGCTGCCACCCAGAACACAGCGTTAGCACAGCCAGGACTTTAACTCCGACACTGGCAAGAGATGTGGGTACCTCAACTGACATCTCTCACTGTACCAGAGGCTGCCATAGGAGTTGCTTGGTTAGTTGAAAATTTTCTCAAAAATCTGAATAAGATACAAATAGTTAATAGAAATAAAACTTGAAAAAAATATTCCTAATTTATACCCTCTTAAAAAGGTCTAATACTTTTTATACATAATTACCAGATCTTGATAGTAATCTGTTACGTGGGCATGGTGATGATATGAACAGGTAGCTCACACACACAGGAAAAGATGCTTAATCTCACTAATAAGAATATAAATTACCATAATACAATGCCATTGTTATTTACCCGGCTAACAGCTTTTGATAGCAGTCGAAGGCGTGGGAAGCCAGATGCACATCGTTGCCAGCAGGCTTGTAACCTCTGTTAGGGCACTTGGATTTGTATTTATCAAAATCTCAAATGTACATACCCTCAGCCTGGAAATAGCAGTCCAGTGCCTTGCAGGAACTGGCTTGATTATGCTGTAATGTAGTTCATAGAGAATTGTTGCCATTTCCACTGATAATCGCATAAATATTTGAGAAATGACTATTTCCAGATTTAACAAAGTACAGCTCCAAAATACAAAATACTGTTAAGAATGAAATAGTTCTCTATGTGAGTTTGACTCTATTTCTTGGTGCCTCTGTGTGCTGGAAAGCATGGTAATAAATGCCTAAAGCATTGGTGAAAGTGCCTGCAAATACCTGTTGTCAGTGCTGGTTTGGGGAGAAGGTACCAGATGAGCCACAGGGAAGGCGGATATTGACTTTTAACTGTTTATTCCAGCTTTGAAATCTTTGTGTTAATACTTTTTCAAAGAAATAAAATGTGACCAAACAATACCTTACATTGCTTATGTGTAAACAGTAAAAAGTGGGACAAAAACATAAAAATGGTAAATTCCAATTCAGAGTTCTGAAGAGAGGGAGAAGGGGAGTGGCAAATGATAGAAGAGGGCCTTAACTGGAAAGACAAGAAGTCCATCTG